ACTCAGCTCCTCCCAAGCTCTGCAGCCCCACCTGCCATTTAGTGATGACCTGAGTCTTACAGTCTTGAGTGGGCAATTAAGATGGGCTAATAAACACGCATAATGAAGGTGTCGTGGCCTCATAAAACACCATGTCGGAGGCCATCAGATGTGAGCAGGGAATCAAACTACCCAGGGCAGAGACAGCTCCCCCGACCCGGAGCTGTCTCTGGGAGCACACAGAGCCGTGGCTCTGCTCACATGGGGATGCTGAAAGGGAAAAGGTTCCAGGGCACAGCACGGACGTGTCACACATGTCACCTGTAAAGCTTCTCCAGCCCAGCATGGGACTTGTCTGGCTTAAATCAAGAGCAGCTGCCAGCCAGGAGAGTCCAGGCGGCCTGGCAATGCTTTGAACTTGGCCTCAGACAGGCAGGAGGAGAGTTTTCTCCTGCCCTCTTGTCACTTTCGCTGTTGTGAAAATGATGTTGGAGACATTGAGCTGCCTCTTGACTGGCAGGGGACATGAGGAATTGTTCAGTTTAGCACTTCCATCAGGGTCTGTCCAAGCTGAGCCAAAACAACTCCTTTAGGACTTTTCCCAATGAAGAAACAAATCCCACTTATTTTAAGGGCCACGAAGAGTAGTGGTTAGTGACGTGGTTAGTGATGGTTTGTTGTGGGTTTTTTTGTCAGTGTTAGGTTGATGGTTGGACTAGATGATCCTAAAGGTCCCTTCCAACCTAGACAATTCTATGGTTCTATGATTCTAAGAGCCCAAGCAGCTTTTACAGCACCTGGCAGGTCCTCCATAGCCTTTGTGCTCTGATAAGAGCTGCCTGGTCCCCCCTGCCCGACGTTGTGCCGGCAGGATGAGGCCAAGGGGTGATGCTGAGGGGACCCCACACTCCTCCTGGAGCTCCAAGAAGCAATGACCAACCCTGGTGAGCTTGACTCAAATGCACAGCACCAGCAGAGGGAAGCCCGGAGGAGCAAGAAGATCATTTTAAGTCCCTTTAATGAACCGTGGTGGTTTTGTACAATCTTCAGTCCTGTCAATCTCTCTGCAAGACTCCAGGCTAACACCGGCAGAACGAGCCCAGAGACCTTCAGGTGGCTGGTGGTGCTGGCAACACTTAGAGCATTTGAGAGGGTCAGCAAGTCATTTGCTTGTCTTCTTTCTCCCCAGCAACAAGGGCACTATAGGGGGAGTGGGAGCTTTTACCAATATATTCCCTTCCTTTGGGGAGAAATTAGCTTAAACAAGCACAGGGACAAGCTCTCCGTAAGCCCTGCTGCTTCCTTTTCCTTGGAAAATTCTGCTTCTCCCTGGCTTAAAGATGGGTGGGACATAATCGGGCCCTGTTTTCTGAAGTCTGGAGAGCTTAAATGAGAGCACGTTGATCTATACTTAATGTGATTAACTTACATCTCTGAGTATCATGCTAATTAAATTAAACTTCCCACTGCTGCCTCTGCGGCTTAAACAGGATAGTTGTTTTAAGACCACAATTCACTCCTCTGCATTTCATTGCATGGATGAGCAGGTAGGATAAAAGCAATCTGCTAATCAAATTATATATTCTTTAAAAACAACTTCTAACTCAGTGGAAATTCAAATTTAATTCTGATTCGAGCTGGAGTTAAACTCTACATTTTAAATCTAAAGTGATTTGAGCACCCCTGGTTTCAGCCGTGTATTATTTCAAGTGCCACGTGGTCTCCGTAGCCTCCTCTCTGGAATACTCCTGTTGTGTGGCAGATGATGGACAAAAATATTTGGCTACAATTGGCAAAATAACAACATTTTACCCAGAAAACTCCCCCCGTCTGGTGTGTCACTGAGGAGCATGCTGAGCCCCACGCCAGGCTGGAGCAGCACACCCAGCTCCTCACACCGGGGCTGGGAAACTGTGACCAGAATAAACAAAACTTTGGGGAAAAAAAATCTCTCCGGTGGGTCACAGAGCCAGGAATCTGCTGGGAGCTTGGTGCTAGCAGGACCCCAAAACACCAGGGCTGAGTCTAGGGGCACAGCTCCCCGTAATGAAAACCATCTCCCAAAGACATCTTCTCCCTCTGTCTTCCTCCCCTCTCCAGCAGCCCTGAGAACCTGCAATGGTTTTTTTTTTCCAGCTTGCAGCTTCTAAAAAAAACAATAAATGGAGATTTCAAAGCTCTCTCCTCATTGACTTGACAGCAGCAGCCTTGACCCGGGGCGGGAGAAGAGGCAGCGCATCGGTGGGTCGGCGTGGAGAGGCAGCAGCACGGGTGGGCACCCAAGGAGAAGGTGGGAGCTGAGGCTCTGTTTGCAGCTCATTCACCTCTGAGGAGACCCCGGAGGGGGGGATCTGTCAGGGATGGAGGATGCTGGAAGGGCAACAGCGGCATCGAACTGACGGCGCGGCACATCGGGGCGGCTGGAGAGGAGCAGCCCTGGCGTGATGGGAAATGGAGACCGGTGGGTGCCTCGGAGCAAGGAGCTTTTTAGGCAGGAACCTGGAGGTTGCACAACCCCTGCACAGCTCTGGCTTGGAGCTATGGTGGGAATAGCTACAGCCATGCCTGCCTGATGCCTCTCCTGCATGCCCAGATCAGCCCAAAGTGTGACTACAAAGCCCACCTTGTATGATTTAAAAGATCAAAAACCAGAGGTTCTTCAGGAGAGCAAGTAGCTTAGTTTTTAAAAGATTCCAGTGTTTGAACGGCTCCTGCTTCCCACCCGGGAAGTGGCCTTGACCTGGTGTCCCACGCTGAGGGATGCTGTGGGGGGATCTTCTCCCCATGGACCACCTCAAGAGCATCTCTCACATCCTCCCCGTCGGGGCTGGGGGTGACTCTGAACCCATCTGCTGAGGCTTCCCGAGCAGGACCTGGGTGCAGGAGGGTCTCCAGGCTGGGCACACCGAGTCATTGCCTGTAAACTCCCCGGAGAAAAGGAGGGTCAGCTGCAGAGAAAGAGCTATTATATTTTTACAGTTGCTATGGCACCGGCTGCTCTGGTCTGTCATTTATGCACTTGAGATGGTCCTCGGTGGGGGGGGGGATTAAACCTTGCTCCCCCCCAGCAGGCTCCCCGGGCAGATCACACCAGCTTTGGGGATTTCTCACCTTCATCCCTAAGAAGGGACAACCACAGCCCCTCTGCCAGCCCCCCCAGCCCCAGCAGTTAAATACAGCCTTGTCTTTAATTTCCGACACGTTATAATGACTGTGGCTGAAATCCACGGCTTTGCCAAGTCCCAGGAGTGACACAAATCCTGTATAAACCCTTAGAGATTAATTGTCCCTCACCTGCCTGCTGGATCTGGGCTCAGGGGAGATCCCTACCAGCAAAGCCGTGGGGCTCACGGAGCGGGGGCTCTGTCTGGCTGCGATGGGACCCCCCAACCTCTGGTCACTCCGCGGGGACCAGCCTGACACCCTCCAAATAAACCCCTTGGCTCGGAGAAAAAAGCTGGTACCAGTCACTCCTCGAAAACTGCACAAGCAGAAAACTGCTGTGTTTTCAAATAAAAGAGGTGTTAAAAGGACCAATAATTTGACAAGCGGAGAGGGAGATGCTGCACCAAGCAAAACTCAGGGGGACCGAGAGCAGGAGGGGACCCACCACCCATCTCTATCCCCTAGGAGGGGGCAGCTGGGGGGTGGGCACCCCCAGTTTGGCCACCCACTGCTGGGGTCCCCACTCCAGGTCAGGGAACACCTGGGGGGACACAGGGAGGTGTTGGGGGCAGCCAAATGCAGGAGGGGGAGCCAGTTTGGACAAAAAAAATCCCATTCCCAGGACTCCCCCTGTGCAGGTGGGGGTGATGTCCCCCAGCAGAGCTGTGTCCCTGCCCCGGGGTGACTGTGCCACCACAGCTGGACTAAAGCCACCAGCCTGTCATGCCAAAACCACCCAGAGCAGCGGGGTGGCCACCTGGGGACCATCACCAGCCCCCCCAAGCTGCTCTGGTCCAGCAGTGCCAGCAGCCAGCACCAGACACACCAAAAAAATAAATAATAATAGGTTTTTAACTGGATGTTTCTAACAGGTCTCCATGTGTGTGCCTGAAGGATTAACAGTGTCCAGAGGTTTTCCATGCTGGGTAGACGCCGGGTGACTGGCGTCACGTCGTCACAGCAACCTGCTCACCATGGCCCTAAGAACCTCGGTTCCCGGTTTGATCTTTTCTGTAGTTTCTTGTAATAAGAAATGAGGCACCTGGAAAAGCCAGTGCCAGAGCCCCCTGGAGCCCTGGGAGCACCAGGTGGCCCTGGGCAAGGACTCGCTCGCCACCGGCCACCGTGTCGGGTCCCAGGGTGAGCCACGGGGACTTGAGATGAAATTTGCTGCTGAAGTGTCAAACTGAAGAGAGCGATGGCTTCGGGTACACTGCCCACCCCCTCCCTGACTGCAGCTGAGATGGGAAAGTTATTCCACTTCCAAGACCCATGAGGACAAATGGGGTGATGCGGGGTGGCTCAAACTAGGTCACACAAAGATGTCCCCAGCCCTCGGGGGGCCGGTGGACCCGTGGTGAGCACCAGTTGAGTACGTGCCCTGCACTTGCCTCCTGGCTGGGGGGTATTTCCAGGCCCCCCTCACTGTGCAGAGTTTCCCTGCAAGAATGAGCCATTATCTCTTTTGGCGGGTCTGGTGTCACCCGTCGCAGAGAGGTGATTGCAAAAGACACCAAAGAAACGAGTATTTATCTGGAGGAAGTAGCACTACCTCAGTGTGCAAATATAGTTCCGTTTCACCCGTCCCAGCCCCAAAATGTACCCACCAGGGAGCAGAGGGGACAGAAACCCGTGCTGGTCCCCACGTCTCATCCCTGCTCTGCCCCCCTCCTGCCTTTGATCAGAGGAGAGGTTTCTCCGCCGGCTGCTCTGGGTGCTGTGGGTTTCCAGCGGGAGGTGGGGAAGCGCTGTCAGCCTGACCCTCCCCTCCTCGGATCTGTCATCAGCCACAGAGAAATCCTTCCCGGCCCCAAGTTACTCAGCCTGAATCCTGCAGGATTTGCCGGGGCGGCAGGATGGCAGAGCAGCCCTGCCTGGTGCCCGCCACCAGCCCTCCCCGGCAGGGCACCGTCCCCCACCCGGGTCCCACAGCCAGTCCTGCACCCCCAGGATCCCAAACCCACCCCAGGGACAAGTGGAGCAAAAAAATGGATTTCCTCCTCTCAGTGATCGGATTCGCTGTGGATCTGGGCAACGTCTGGCGGTTCCCTTACATCTGCTACCAAAACGGAGGGGGTAAGGACACCACCAGGAGTATTTATGTGTTCTTTTGGAGAAAAGAAAGCTGGTTTTCATCTTTCCGAGGCTGAAAAACTCATTGTTTCTTTCCTTTCTTTGTCTCTACCTGCTCCTCTCCGGACAGAGCAGTTTAGAGACCAACCCAACTTCTCCTGACATCTGTCTCCTCTCTGGTTTTTATCTTTCTTCATTCATCTGTCTCTTCTCTGTTTTTTGTCTTTCTTCATTCAAAATCCTCTTCCATTCACTCCTTCCCTGGTGTCATTCACCCCTTCCCCGGCGGGGTAGCCGCTTTAGGGTCACAAAGAGGAAAGTAGCATGGGCCAAATTGCATAAAAGGATTAAGAATTGGTAAATTCGGGGTGGGAAGTTTGTCCCCTTTGTGATCTCGTGACTTTGTGAAAGCAACCCTTCCTGGTGGCTCCTCTTTTCCAATAATCCTCCCGAGCATCCCAGCTGCCTGCCGCACATCCCGGCCGTGCTGGACCCCGCGGAGCAGCCCTGGTTTCCTCAGGACCGTGTGTCCCTGCACCACACGGGGCTCGGGAGGTTCCCTCCTGCCAGGGATAACAGAAAGTTAAGATAAAATGGCTTTGTGAAGAAAAAAAAAAAAAAAACAAAAAAAAAAAAAAAAACCCCAAACTTGAGTAAATGACATCGAAATAAATTGCTTTAAATAGAGCAGAGTAGAAAAACCCCTGGCATGGAAATTAAAAAAAAGGGATGAAAATTTTGTGCTGTTTGCAAAAGAGCAATTTAATTGCAAAAACAGGCATTCGGATAACGTCCTCTACTGCTTGGGAAAATTAGGAGGAGATAATTAGTACCATACTCAAGGCTAAAATGTGGATCCCAGGTGCCCACTCCAAAGCACAGTTATTTGTGATTTACTCCTGCGGGACAAACTTTATCCGCTCTTCATTGATGTGGTTCAGGCAGATGCTTCCCTCACCCACTCCACGCAGGCAGGAGGGTGAGAAGTTCAAACAGCAGCTCCAGGAAAGGACAACCATGGTCCACCCAGAGCTGGAGCACTGATCCGGGCGGGTGGTGGCCTCATCCATCAGCCGGAGATGTTCCTGGAAGAGAAGCCCTTGAGGGTGGAGAGCTCTCCGAGATTGGAGCCGTGGGGGTTAAATTAACTAATCCCAACAGGGCTATTCTGAGAAGTGCAGAGAACAGCCCCAGTCCCAAACCCTCCACGTTCTGAGGAGCACAGAGAACAGCCCCAGTCCCAAACCCTCCACAGGGTACGAGCGTAGCCCCGGTAAATGATATTGTTATGAATAATGCAGATTCCAGCGTTAATTACTTGTGTCTTGAGGTGACTGTGCATATCGAGTGGGATTTACTCCAAAACTCTTCTAGACTTGAGAGATGCTCGGTGTCCCATCCCCTGCGCCCTGATGGTTTCTATTGCTCTTTGTACTGTCCTGGCCAAATGGCTGGGACACCGGTGGGGACGGCAGCCCAGGAAGGTGGGCCACCGAGCCAGGTCTTCACATCTCTGAACCCTTCTGACCAGATGATTTGTAAAACATCTGACAAATATGCATCCAAACCCCTCGTCCACGCTTCTCCGTGACACGTCCCTGCAGCGCTGGGTGGGGATGGCAGTGGCAGCCTGCTGGTGTGAGGTCACGGTGGTCACCACCACTCTGCTCCTCACCCCACAGGAGCCTTTCTCATCCCCTACACACTGATGGCTGTTTTCGGAGGGGTGCCCCTCTTCTACATGGAGCTGGCCCTGGGGCAGTTCCACAGGATGGGCGCCATCCCCATCTGGAAGCGCATCTGCCCCATCTTTAAAGGTAGGAGACCCCCCCCCAGCCCCATGCAGTGCCGGTGAGTGGGGCTGTGTGGGTCCCTGTGGGGACAGGGAGAGGGCTGGAGCAGGGTGGGCTGCTGAGTCTGCCCCTCGTCTGTCCCCAGGCATCGGCTTTGCCATTTGCATCATCGGGCTCTACGTCTCCTTCTACTACAACACCATCATCGCCTGGGCTCTCTATTACTTCTACTCCTCCTTCTCGGGCACCTTGCCCTGGGCGAGCTGTGACAACCCCTGGAACACCCCCGACTGCACCAACTACTTCGGGAGGAGCAACGTGACCTGGACCAAGTTCTCCAGGTCCCCCGCCGAGGAGTTTTATACGTAAGTGCACGTATATGGATGATGTATTTAAGCTGGGGCACGTCCCCACGGTGGCACTGGGGTCTGCTGTGTGGGTGGCAGGATCGGGGCGCCTGGCAGCAGGTATGCTACTGCCCATGGCCATCACGTGAGGATGCTCTTGGAGACCTCATGGCCACCATGCTCCAGGGGAGAGCCTGCTCCCCGGCTGCCTGCAAGGGCAGGTGCTGGCAGCACCGCGCTGGCCTGAGACCCCCTCCCCGGCCGTGGGGATCCCTGCAGGAGGAAAGTCCTGGAGATCCAGAAGTCTGGAGGTCTGTACGACATCGGGGGGATCCGCTGGCAGCTGCTCCTCTGCCTCTTCCTCATCTTCGCCATCGTCTACTTCAGCCTGTGGAAAGGGGTGAAAACCTCCGGGAAGGTAAGAAAGAGGGTTCCAGCACCAGCCCTGCCTGGGCACAGACACGATGGAGCCCTGGGCACGAGCATCCCCTCCATGGCCAGGGCCAGGCAGGAGGGACCAAGCCCTGATGGGGTCTTGCAGCTGATCTGGCTGCTTAAACTTGGGATATTGCGTCCTCTCCACGCCCCTGGGCCATCCTGGGTGGCCACCAGTGAGCCGGCCATGCCTGACATGGGTGGTTTGGGTGCTCGGTGAACCAGCTCTGCTTCTGCTGGGGGCTGATGGTGCCTCTCTCCAGGTGGTGTGGGTGACGGCCACGCTGCCCTACGTCGTCCTCCTCATCCTGCTGATCCGGGGAGCCACCCTGCCCGGCGCCTGGAGAGGGGTTGTCTTCTACCTACGCCCAGACTGGGGCAAGCTCCTGAGCACCGCGGTGAGTGTGTGGTGGGACGTTCCACCCAGACCCCCTCCCCAGGATGGACACGTACCCCTGCCCATGGGTCTAGCCCCATCACAGGAGCTGCAGGGCGATGGGGCCCTTGTTCCTACAGAAACACGGTGCCCTGGAGAGGCTCTTGGAAATGGAAATCTCTAATTGAATCACCCATCTCATTGCCGCTGGGTTTTGTTTACCCCGTGTTCTCCCCCCTGGCCTGACAATAGGCTTCCCGTGGGTAATTAGCAGGCAGCACTTGAGAATTCTCATTAAAGGTAATCAGGGCCTCACTGCTGAACCTGCCTGGGCAGGAGTGGGCATGGGGGTCTCTGAGCTCCCCTCGACTTCGTCCCCACTCTGGGCACAGGGGAGAGCAGGTGCTGTTGTTTAATTCTGCTGCTGCAGGACCCCAGGGTGGAAACAAGCTCCCTCTGTCCCACAGCAGGTCCCCTGCTTTGGGGACATCTCATGGGGGGACGGGGCAGGCAAGAGAGGAGGTTTGGCAGCAGGTACCAACAAGGACCCCATCCCTGCGCTGTGGGGTGGGCACACCATGGATTGGGCACCTCCCAACCCAGGGGAATCCCTTACCCGTTCTCCAGCCTGCCTCTTGCTTCTCCTCCCAGGTTTGGGTTGATGCTGCTGCACAGATTTTCTTCTCCTTGGGTCCTGGATTCGGTGTCCTCCTCGCTCTGGCCAGTTACAACCGTTTCCACAACAACTGCTACCGGTGAGCCGTGGGTCCCCGTGGGCACGGGGGCTGTGCCGGGTACAGCTGCCGTGGGGCCAGTGCCCCATGGCCACTGTCTGGGCATCTTTCCCCATTTTCCTGATGGTTTTGGTGTGTGGAGACCAGGAGAGGGAACAGGTGACCAGAGTAGGTGGATTGGGGTGAGAGCTGAGCTGGAGGGGGGGTGTTTCTGCCACAGGACATGTCTCCCTGCTTTCTTGCCTTCCAGGGATGCGCTCGTCACCAGCACGGTGAACTGCCTCACCAGCTTCCTCTCGGGCTTCGTCATCTTCACCGTGCTGGGCTACATGGCCGAGATGAGGGACGTGGAGGTGGAGGATGTGGCGAGAGATAAAGGTTTGCCTCCTTCCAGTGTCACTTCCCCGTCCTGGCCCCAGGGCTCCGTGTCCCCGTCCTGGGTGGTGGCCATCCCAGTATCTCAGCTGGGGCCAGGGATGGTCACTCTGGCTGTGGGGCATTCCTGCCATCACCCAGGGCTGTGCCAGAGGAACCAGCAAACCAAACCCGTGTCCTCTCCTAGGGCCGAGCCTCCTTTTTATCACCTACCCTGAAGCCATCGCCAACATGGTGGGCTCCACCTTCTTTGCCATCATATTCTTCCTGATGATGATAACGCTGGGGCTGGACAGCACGGTAGGTGCCTCCATGGAGCACGTGCAGCCTGGGGACATGTCCCCAGAGGGGACTGGGGACAGACATGCCCCATGGCTAATACTGGGGTGTCAAGGGGAGCTATGGCCTCGGGGAGGAGGACTCCAAGCATGGGGATGGAGGGAACACCACACCATCATCTCCAGTGGGTCTGAGCTGGCCTCCCCCAAAGCCTGTTGGAGGGGATGGGCGCCCCAGAGGGAGGGGACAGGACATGATGTCCTTCTGCTCATGGATAGAGGGGCCCTTGGGAGGAGCAGGTTTCCTCCAAGAGCGTGACCGTCCCCACGTCTCGTTTCTCCACCCCACACCGTCTCCATGAGCATGACCATCCCCACGTCTCGTTTCTCCACCCCACACCGGCGTTTCCTTTGCAGTTTGGGGGCTTGGAGGCCGTGATCACGGCCGTGATGGACGAGTACCCCCAGGTGCTGGCCGGGCGACGGGAGCTCTTCGTCCTTGGCCTCATCACAGTCTGTTTCCTGGGCTCCCTGAGCACCCTCACCTACGTGAGTACCCCCAGGCACCGCTCCACTCCCGTCCCCACCACACTCCTCCTCCTTCCTCCAACAACCCCCAGTGGGGGACTTTGCTGAAGATGTTCTCCATGTGCCCGCGGGGTCTGCCACTGCCCTCCCCTCCCCTCTGCTCTTCCAGGGGGGAGCCTACGTGGTGAAGCTTCTGGAGGAGTTTGGTGCCGGCTGCTCAATCCTGGCAGTGGTGCTGCTGGAAACCATAGCTGTCTCCTGGTTTTACGGTGAGAAACCACCTCTGTTCTGAAAAACATCCTTGCAGACACCTACAGAGGTATTTTGTGTGTGAATGCCAGGGGGTTTGGGGGGAAAAACCACGTGGGACTTCTGATGAGGCTGGGAGGGGGCATGGAGGGCCTCATGCCCACATCCCTGTACCCACATCCTCCGTGGGTCTCCGGGGCCGTGACGGCTCTCTCCTCCGACAGGGCACCTTCTTCACGTGTGTGAATGGGGGGAAAAACCACATGTGGGACTTCTGACGAGGCTGGGAGGGGGCATGGAGGGCCTCGTGCCCACATTCCTGTACCCACATCCTCCGTGGGTCTCCGGGGCCGTGACGGCTCTCTCCTCCGACAGGGATACAGAGGTTCTCCCACGACGTGAAAGCCATGCTGGGCTTCACCCCGGGGATCTTCTGGAAGGTGTGCTGGGTGGCCATCAGCCCTGCCTTGTTAGCGGTGAGTATCTACAGCCCAAATTGAAGATGGGGGTTGTCAACCCTGCTCCGAATCACCCCACAGAGGAGCTGCTCTTCCCTCGCTGCTGCTGCCCAGCTTCCTGGGCACCTGGTCTTGCTTGCCCGGGGTGAATGAGCTGCCAGGAGGGTGGACCAGGGTCCTGGCCAGGGCTGTAGGAGCTTGTGCCAGCCCCTGCTGGCTCCCCATACTGCTGCTCTGGCCACGGGTGACAACAAGCTGCCTGCAGCCCCCCGGGACAGCGGGTTTCCCTGAGAAAAGGAGCTGCAAGTGGGTTTTCCAGCCTCTTCTGCAGCTCCAGGGCAAAGCTGGGAGCTGGTGGTGGGTGCTCATGGGGTGCAACCTCTTTTCATCCCCCTGGTCCCCAGCATCCTGCACAGCCAGCCATGGGGACACATCTCTGATGGCACCGTGCGCCGGGCTGGATCTGTCCCCTTTGAAATGCCAGCTCCCCCGGCACTTCAAAGGCTGCCAGAGGCAGAGGGGTCTAATCTCCCCGGATCTGCAGGAGAAGAGGCCTTGTGAGGATTAATTACCGCTCGAAGCGCTTTGCCCAGGTTATTAAGAGAGAGGTATTTATAATCAAAGCAGACAGCAAATTATTTCATTTCAGCACGGGGACGTGCAGCCTTTGCCGGCCGCCGTCCCGGTGGGGTTCGTTAGACGAGGACCTCCCAGCCCACACTTAATGAGGGGTGGCAGTCTGGGAAATGTCACTGTTAAGAAAGCAGCGGTGGCAGCAGGACACGGAGGGTGTTAACCTGTAGGAAGGGTCGGCATCAATGCCAGGGTTGGGGGGACATCACAGCTGATCTGCTCTCCGTGGGGACCCAACGGGGCTGGTCCATCAGTGATGCCACCATGAAGCTTTCCTGGCCACCCATGTCACCTGCACGTGGGTTTGTGGGGCTGGATGGCCCTGCTACCACTCTGTGTGTGCTTGTGACCCACAGTGGGGGATGTCCTGCCATGGTCCAGCCCCAGGAGCATCCTTCCCTAAGGGGCTTGTTCGTTACAGTTCATAGTCATCAGCTCCCTCCTGGACCAGCCGCCTCTGACGCTCTTCGACTATCAGTACCCGGCGTGGAGCATCTCGGTGGGGTACCTCATAGGAGCATCCTCCTTCATCTGCATCCCCTTCTACATGGTCTACAAGCTGGTCTGGACGCCGGGCTCTCTCAAGCAGGTCAGGAGTGGGACAGGCAGTCCTGGGGTCCCTGCGTGGGCTGGGGGTGGGCAGGGACCCCCGCTTGGAGAGAGCTGGAGATGGAGGAGCTGGGCAGAGGGTTGACATGTCCTCGGCTTCTTTGGTGATTAAATCACACCTGGAGAGCTGCTTGGAAAAGGGCTCAGAGGAGCGTAGCTTGGTGGCCCGGTCATTTTGAGTCATATTTCTGAAGCGGTGATTTTGGCTGGGCCAGGACATGCTGTGCCAGATTGTCCCCAGCTGTCACCCCTCCTCTCAGCCCGTTTTTGGGGCACCCCTTGCCTGCTGTGGTCTGCGACAGGCTGACACAGCCCTGACCTGCAGCAGGCAAGATGGCACGCTGTGGTGGGCAACCCTGCATGTGGCATCGGGTGCTGGTGCAGGAGGGAAATCCTTACAAATCACCTTTTTTCTTTGCCTGCTTGCACCCTGCAGCGCCTCGCCGTCTGCATCCGGCCCGAGAAAACCACACGAGCCCCCCAAGCAGAGGAGGTGGGCATGTCCCCTGTCCTGTAGCCCCGGTGGCACATCCAAGGGGACGCAGAGACCGCTTGGGCTTCCTGCTCCTGCCCCACCAAAGCAAGGGGGGGGCCAGGCAGAAGAGAAGCTGCCATCACCTTCCTCGCAGCGACCGGCCCCTCGCCTCTCCCCCGGCGGCTGCACGTGCTGGTGGCATCTCCCCGGCCACCACCTCCTGCTGCATCCCAGCATCCCGGAGGAATATGCTGGAATCCATTCTTGCTGCCAGATGGAAAAGCCAAAGGGCTTCTTGACGCAGCGGCTGTCCCAAGAGCAGGCGGGGAGGTCAGCCCAAACTCCGCCAAAATCCTCCTGCAAAACTTTGCAAGTACTTTATGGCAGTACTGTAGTGCTGGTGTTGAATTTAAAGGTCATTTAATGTAAAGTTACGTAAAAGATACATTTTTCATGGATTGTTTAGACCATTTAGGAAAAAAAAAAGTTTAATTTCGCCCCAAAACTTGGCATAAACACCCCTGCTGTGCATCCCTGGACCATGCACAGGCTCAGGCAGTGGGTTACCTCCTCCTTGCTGGCTTTCCTTCCCTCCCAGTTTGGCCAGGGAAGGCTCCTGGCAGGGAGAGACGGGACCCACCACTGAGTCCCGCCGGGCTGGAAGTCAAGGGGCCAACTCCTCCAGTTTGGGGGGGAAACCCCAGCTCCCGGTGATGGATGGAGGCGTTTTGGGGCGAGCAGTGCATGCCTTTAGCCGTGAGCTGTATAAAATAAAGCTGGTGCCAGTTGTTAGAAGATCACACCAGGGAGAAGAGATGGAGCTCATCATCTTCACAGCCCCACGGGGCTGGGCTGGGGGAGCTGGGGGGGCTGCTGCTGCCACAAAAATACCTCCTTCTGTTGCAAAGAGCAGAAAGCTGGTAGAGAAAAGGGAAAAAAAGCCCCAGAAAAGTGGTGGCCTCCAGCATTTGAAGAAGAAAAGATCTCAATAGATCTCATTTTAGAAACAAGTTGGGAGGGGGGGTCAGGGTAAGGAGCCTGCCGTCTGTCACGGCTTCCCAATAACGTCCCATCCCTTCCAGTGCAGCCCCACCACGTCTCAGCATTCATTAAGCCAATTAAACACTTTCCAGCACCCACGTTCACCCCGGTGGAGGCGAAGCAGGAGCCCCCCCCCCCCCAAATCTGGTGTCACAGCCCTGTGCTGTTCTGCTGCGGTGACCCCTCACCGTCCCCTCCCGGCGGCTCCTGCTCCCTCAGGGTGATGTAGAAGAGAACAGGAGGGAGCAGCTTGGGGGTGGGGGGGAACATGGGGCTGGGGACACACATAGGGCTAAGGGGGAACATGCAGCTGGAAGGGGCACACGGG